GGAGATAGGCGGCTGTGAGCCAGCGCAGTGGTCGTATGCAATTGTTCCGCCTGGCCCAGAGGTAAGCTACCTACCTACCATCTTTATGTTGACCGCTCTGCTCTGCCTGTAAGGTCGCCCCGCGTGTGCACCACTGAAGCAAAGCCCCGGGCCGCGTTTTGGAGGCCAGCTGTTGCGTAGTGACCCATGACACATATGCAAAGCCATGGAAATGAACAATGTTGACAGTTTCATTTTAGGACAAACAATAGTAAGAATAAAAGAATTGCTTACCAACATCGTAATACCGCAACGAATATGCCACATTTATAATTTTCAAACTGCATTATTAGTGCCCTTCATTTGTGGGAACTTCTAAACCACTAATAACCACTTCCATTTCACAAATCAGTCCTAGAACTCTCCAGAAATGTCCCAGGCGCATGAGTGTATGTGCGTGTTCACGTGTGTGTTCGGTATAACTCTTTCGTTTTTGTTTTGAAAAAAATTAAGGACTCAGACTAATTTAAAGAATGGATATTTTTTTTTTTTTTTTTTTTTTTTTTTTTTTTTTTTTTTGGGTTTGTGCCCTCCTTTTTTAGTTTTTGCTATTGGGTATGTGCACTCACCAGAGACAGAGTTGAAAGATGGAAAGTGAGAAATTACCTGTGAGGGGGATGGCCACACAGCAATCCCTATCCCTCCATTATCTTCTCAGGATTTTGGGCACACTTCACATGCACCTGGTGTGGTTTCCAAGCCACTGGGTCTGAGATTTGAACCATGGAGTCAGTCATGTGGGATCCAGTGCCTTAACCTCTATGCCACCTGCTTGCCCCATAGTTTGTTTTTATTTTTGCTATAAGTTGAGTGCAAACTTGAGAGAGCGGAGGAGGAAGAGGGAAAGTGAGAAATCACCTCCCCACTGGGGAGAGCAATACTGCAGTCCCTTCTCCATTCTCATCTTGGGATTTTTGCCATGTGTGCACACGTACCCAATGTATTTTTCAAGTTGCCAGGTCCAGGATTCATCCAGGTTTCATACAAGATACAGCTGCCTTAGAGAGCAGGCTGGCCAACCACTTTCTAATAATAAAAAAATAGTTTATTAATTTATTCTGTGAGTGAGAGAAACAGGGATATAGTACCCCCAATGGGGTTTTGACTCCATGATCCACCTTGAATCTCAGCCAAACCCAAACACACGTATGCACAGTGTACTCAGGGAGGTCTCTGGATGTGAACTGGTAACCTTTCCTGTGGGATTACCTGGCTGAACATCATGTTTTACCACTGTGCCACTGTCCCAAATGGGGAATTTCTGATGAGGAAAATGTGTAGTCCTGATTTCACTAAGGTGGGTGCTGCATACTACGAGTGATTGGCTCATCTTAGATATTCAGCAGACAGAAGTTATGGCTTTCCAGAGCAACCCTTCTCCAACTGTGGTCCCCTCAGCAGCTGCAACATCTGGGAAGCTGTTAGATGTGCAAATTACCCAGCCCTGCTTCAAACCTCAGAGGATAGAAATTCTGGGGGCCAGCACATTGTGTAGTGGTTAAGGTGCTGGACTTCCACATGACTGACCATGATTCAAGTCCCAGATCTGGCAGCTTGCCTTGTCACTTTCCTTCTCTCTCTCTCTCCTTGTCTCTCTCTCTGGTGAGTGCATGTGCCCTATAGCAAATTTTAAAATAATTATAATAAACTTAAAAAATAAATCATAATTTAGAAAAAGAAATCAGAAATTCTGGTGGTGAAGTATAGTAATCAGTGTTTTAATGATCCTTTCTGGTGATTCTGATGCCTGCTGAAGTTTGAGAACCATTCTACCTGAGAATCTATAAGTAATTGAATTATTTTTCCTGAGGACTCAGTCAGTATGCCCCAGGGCAGACTTTAGACAGGCCATGGTGATAGCTTCCGGTCAATTGGCTGACCCAAATTAAAAAAAAAAAGTATATCCCACTATTCCTAGACTATCTTTCCCCCTCCCATCTTATATATTGTCTTTATATATTCTATTTTGTCTTTGGTTATAACCAAAAGTAAACCCCTAATAGGCTCCTAAGGAAAAGGTCTCTAAGTGTTGACATGACCCAAGTAAAATCAGATTCCTTTTCTCAAGTTAATAGTTTGATGCTGAGAGAACTAAGATGAGATTGCCCAGGTGGGGGACATATCTGAACCAGCGCACAGCCAACCGGTCGTGTGTCTCGCATATTTGACACCTGGATTAAGCATGTCATTTTTAGACCTTATATTGCTCTGTGCAATATAACTGTTTTCAATCATAGTCATAAAATGAAATGACTATAAAGTTGCAGTCTGGACTCAGAACGCAGTACCTCAGTATGTGTCACCTTGGTGTGCCGAGTACTGTGGACTGGAGGAGATTTGGAAAGGTCTCAGAAACAAGGTCTCTCTGATCTTCTCCTATATTTCTTGCCTCTCTTTCTTCCTCCAAGCAGATTGTAGAATCCAAAATTCCTTTTCTCCAAGATGGGTCATAAAAACTAGGACCTCCTTCCCCTCCCCCCCCAAAGCAAGCCTAACTCTTAGAAAGATCACTCTCTCCATCTCCCTTCTCTTTTCAAGACCCTCATTCTAGAGGGTCCTACCCCATCCCTGGGAGGAAGGAATGTCAAGAAGAATCTGGACAGTCTTGCTGCCTTTCCTCCCTAGCCTATTATCATTAGATCAAGTCGCCACGTCTAGGACTCTAACTGTGGTCAATTATGTGGGTGTCCAGTGACATAACCATTACACCATCTGCTGGTCCCTATCCAATCACATTTCAACATGGTTTCCATTCTTTATCAAATCACCATGAGAATAGACACTTTCCCCTGGATCTTTTAATCTTCATTTCTGAAGACTTCCATATCATGTAAAACTGTAAATTAATCTATTATATTTTTCTCTTGATAACTTGTCTTTCATCTTAGGCGTGTCAGCCATGACCATATGATGGGTGAGAAAAGGTACCATAACGTTCTGCCCCTACGGCATTAAAGACAAAATGTCGGGGCCAGCAGTTAGTGTAATGGCTATGTCGCTGGACTCCCACGTAGTCAACCGCAGTTCGTGTCCCAGACCGGGTGGCTTAAACTCACGCTGGGCACGTGTGTGTGCGTGCCCAAGATCCCGAGAGGAGAATGGAGGAGAAAGGATTGCGGCGTGGCCATCTCCCCTGGGGGGTGATTTCTCGTTTCTGTCTCTCTGTCTCTCTGTCTGTCTGGCGAACGCATGCGCCCTATAGCAAAACCTCTAAAAAAAAATACAAAATGTCTGTGAATCTCCCGAATTCACAAGTTGAAAGACTAACTCCTAGTGTGATAGTATAGGAGGAGGGAGTTTTGCAGGTGAATAGGTCATGAGGGATTTACCTTATGAAAAGAGTTAGTACCTTTACCAAAGACCCCAGAGATCCCTTGTCCTTTATGACATGTGAGGACTGTCAATCAATTCAAATCCAAAATCTGTAAAGAACAAAGAACTTCATTTGGAGTTTGAGAAATCGCAATTTGGAAGACATCAATTTGTTTAGAATCAAAAGTGCTTTGGGGGTGTGAGGGAAGACAGGAGTTTATGTAGGAAAAAAGGCTTGAATCACTGCAAGGTAATCAAAATTATTTAAAGAGAAGCTTGTGCTGAAGTTGCAAGGGCTGTGTGAACTACTGATCTGCTTGAACTATGGAGGAGGGGCAGTGGAAGGGAGGAAAAAGGAGTCTCTAAAACAAGAGTCCAAGACCGGCTCTATACTCTGGTGATTAGGACAGCAGGATCCCCCACATGGTTGACCCTGTGGTTGGAATCCTAGACGCAGTTGCATGAGTAACACGTGTGTATTCATGCCCAAGATCCTGAAAGTAGGGAAATACGGAGGAGAAGGGACTATAGCATGGCCGTTCCCCATGAGGGGTGATTTCTCCCTCTCCCTCTGGTGAGTACAAGTGCCCTCTGACAAAATTAAACAACCACAACAACAAAACAAAGATGGGTTTCATAGCATCTTGACTTGTTTCTGGACCTTTTCCCGAAGCCTGCTGCCAAAGCTTAAAGGCCAAAGTTCACAGTCCCAGGCAGAGGCTTGAGATGTGCAAGTCCTGCTCCCTTAGTGACCTCTGGACTCCAGATTAGACAGGGCAGTCTTTGGTTATTTCTCTCTTCACAGGACACTGAGAAAACGGCCATCTGTGAGCCAGGAAGCAGGCCCTCCCCACTGTGGAACCGAACCTGCCAGCCCCTCCATGGTGGACTTCTCAGCCTCTAAAACAGTGAGAAATAAATTGCTATTGTTTTAAAGTCACCTAGTCTATGATACTTTGTTTTAGCAGCGCAAACAGACCAAGATAAATGTCTAAAAGAGAAACACAGATGTTGAAATGTTTTTTTATTAACCTCTATGCATAATGATGTCAGAAAAAAATGAATACATTAGTAAATATATACATAAATAACAAATATTAGAATATGCAAAACGCAAAAGTAATAGGTTAATACTTTTAAATTACATTAATATATTTTTTAACTTGATTTATTTTAATTTGACCAGAGAGGGACAGAGAGAGAGAAAGTGAGAAAGCGAGGTGCCAGGTCTGAGAATTGAACCATGGTCAACCGAGTGGAAGTCCAGTGCCCTCAACCACCATGCCACCTGCCAGCCCAAAATTATTTTATTTAACTTTATTTATTTATTTATTTATTTATTTAAAGTTGACCAGAGAGGGACAGAGAGAGAGAGAGAGAGAGAGAGAGGGAAAGTGAGAAAGCAAGCCACTAGGTCTGGGACTCGAACCACAGTTGGCCATGTGGGAGTCCAGTGCCTTTAACCACCATGCTACTTGCCAGCCCCTACATTAATATATTTTTTTTAAACTGAAGGAGAACGTATATCTATACATTGGGCTGTACAGTAAACATTAACAATATTAATAATTTCTGTACCAGAGAAATAAGCAAATAA